TTCTCCCTCAGGATAAAGAGCCGATTTCCTAACAGTGGAGAAGCCTCACATTACAGGGTTCTTGGTGACCTCTGCGACCTCACCTCTCCCTGTGCCCCTGACCCGCACACACTCTGTCCAGCCATGGGATTGTGCCCACATGGTACAAAGGCCCTGAGTCCCGTGCTTTATGAACACTCCCTCGTCCCATCCTCACAGCAGCCCTGGGAGGTCGGGAACAACACTGCCATTTTGCAGATGAGGAAGCCGAGGTGCAGAGCAGCAAAGTGACTCTTCCAGGTCACAGTGTGTTCCCGTTCCTCAATCACAGCAGTGGTCACACTATCTTGTAATCACCGCTCGCCCACCCCATCACCAGACGGTCACCGGACGAGGGCTGTGTTTGGGGCATGTTAGCCCTCCCACCCCTCTGCTTCCTTTCTTCTCAGCTGTGTAACCTAGAACAAGTGACTTAGTCTCTTTGGCTTTCCGTTCCCTCATAAATAGGAACAGTAACTACTTATTTCACAGGGTTATGAGGCTTAAATGAGGTAAAAACATGTCAAGTGCTCAGAACTGAGGTACGTAGCATGCACTGAACAAACAGCACTAAGGGTTAATACTGTTACTATCATCTGTGCGTTGGCATTGCCCAGCCAAGGCGAGTCCGAGGGTGGGCTCCAGGACAGGGCCCTCCAGGGTGGGCTGGAAATCAGTGAATGGGAGTACATTTGGCCTTGAGTCTGGAGAGGCCCAAGGCGGGTCAGGGAGACCCTCCTCCAGGCAGTGCCTGAAGCCATCGCCCCAGCCCGCCCCCGCCCCCCCCCCCCCCCCCCTGCCCCCCCCCCCCCCCCCCCCACCCGGCCATTACTCACGGGAAGGTGGATGCTGCAAAACAGACAATGGAGATCAAACCCAGGCCCACGCTGGCCTCATCCCAGCCGTCCTGGGCGCATTCGCCGAACACGTCCCATATCCACTGGCGGGAGCCATTGGGGCAGTCGGAGAAGTTGCCGGAGCCCAGTTTCTTCCAGACCATGGCTGCTGCGGGATGCAGGGAGGGATGCACAGGAGAAAGAGAAGGGGGTCTTTAGCCTTGGCAGGTCTGGATCCTGTGGCCCGCCCCTAGCTACGCCCATCCCCAGTTTTAATCAGACCGAGCCTCTGAACTCCGAGGGCACAATCAGCTTCAAGTACACAGACGACCTGTGCAAGGACAGGGCCGGATCCGCAGTCAGGGCCAAGTGTGTAGATGCCAGCTTTAGCACTCGTCAGTGCTGCGACTTTGGGCAAGTGCCTCAGCCTCCCTGTGCGTTAGTTCCCTCATCTGTAAAAGGGGTGATCACAGTGCCTCCTTCATAGTTGTCCTGAGGGTAACATGAGTTCATACAGTGAACCCTCCGCTCACTTTGTTACAACCCTCCAACGTTTACATTGTTTCCGATCTCCTCTTTTGTAAATTACATCTGCGGAGACCAGGCCCCATTAAGTACATTCTCTCACTGAAAGTCGGGCTGCCGGCCAACACCAGTCAGGGAGGCCAAGTGGAGAATAAGGGCCAGGTGGGTCCAGGGCTTGCGCAGGTGGCTGGGATTCAAGAGCAGCGCTGAAGCACAATTCTCCAGGAGCAGCGTGGGCGGGATGCCTGCTGGCGAGGAGTCTGGAGCCACCTGCCCATTCTCACCACCCACAAAGCCAGAAAGTGGCTGGTAGCAGGAGCGGGCAGGAAAGTCCCCTCCCGATGCCCGGGCACCCTGCACAGTGACTACAGCGGTCACGGTCTGTGTGACAGTCCCAGAGAAGGGAGAGAAAGCGGAGCCAGACGGCGCCATCTCTACCAGGCGAGACTCACCATAGCCCCTGATTACGAAGCTCGTCACCAGTTCTGGGCTTAGCACCTTGCAGGTATCTTACTCATTCTGTCCTATCAACTCCATTAGGGGAGTTGGGGGGGGGGGCTCCTGATACATCCAAGGAACCAGGGAAGTGACTTGCACTCAGCCAGGAAGCGACAGAGGCAGGAGTCAAAGCCAGGATGGGGACCCAAACCCCGGCTCCTGGCCACCCTGCCATGCTGCCTCAGGCGCTTCTGTCCCTGGATGTGGCAGACCCCCCGCCCCACCTGTGGTCTGGCCGACTGCCCAAGCTCCCCAGCAGCCAGAAGGCAGGCTTCCGCTTCCTGCCCCATGCTCAGAGGCTTTCCTCACTGGACTGAGACTCTCTCCAGCTACCTTTGGTTTCTCCCTCTCCCTGCTGCTCCCCCTGCTTGTGCGCACTCTCTCTCTCTGTCAAATAAATAAAATCTTAAAAAAAAAAAAAGCAAGTCCCTTTACCCCCCCTCCCCCGGCCACCCCCGCACAGGACCCCACCCCCCGCCATCACCCTCTTACAGATTCTGAGTGAGCCCGTCCCTTTCATCACAGTAATACACAGCCACCCTCGTATCTTCCCTGTGAGGTGGGGCAGATTGCCCCCATTTCCAGGTAAGACTGGGTCACCTTGGCCGAGTGAGGAACCTGTCTGAGCCTTGTCTGTAAAATGGGGATGATGACCCCGGCTCCTTGGGGTTGGCGGTGCAGATGAAATGCACAGAAGGAAGGCTCTCCGCCCCGGGCCTGACCGAACCATGCTGGAGGCTGTTGTGAGGATGAGAGTCCAGGAGCTCAACCACCCTGCGGCCACTCTCTCGCTTCCTTTTCACCAGGTTAGGGAGGAAATGAAGTGAACACATGCCCAGTGAGGGAAGGGGGTGTCTGGAGGATTGTAGCTTGGCTCACAGGGCCCAGAACACGGGGTGGGTGGTCCCTGATCTTGCACAGGGAATATGTGCAGCTCGGGACACTCAGACACGCCTGAATCCCGACCAGAAGGGGCCTTCCTCTGGGGGCCGCTGCACACAGGGCCCATCATCTGGAGGTTCTGACCCAGCTAGGGAGCCAGCCTGGGCCCCAGGCCTGGCTTCTGGGAATGGGCCCACCTCCTGGTCAAACAGCACTTCGAGGATGGATGTCCAGGGTTGCAACAAACCTTGACTGCGTCCATAGGTTTGACAAGGACCACAGCAGGGATGAGTGCCTTGGAACCTCGCAGGGCACATGCCCAGAATTCAGGCTCAGTGTCTCTCTGGACTTCAGATCAGGAACTTTGGGTTTAAGAAGCAACCCCAGGGGTGCCTGGCTGGCTCAGTTGGTAAGGAACGCGACTCTTGATCTCAGGGTTGTGAGTTCAAGGCCCATGTTGGGTGTAGAGATTACTTAAAAATAAAATCTTAAAAAAAAAAAAAAGAAAGAAAGAAAGGCAACCCCAGCTGATTCTGATGCACGTGGCCAGGCTTTGAGAAAGCCTACAATGGAGAAGGCATCTCGGGCCACACCCAAGCTCCTCTATTGGACCCAAGCTGAGTCAGGGAAATGCTTCCCACAGAAGCTTCCCACCGAAGCGGCAGGCCTCCAGGCTTCTGCACGTACAGTCTCTTCCCTTAGGAGTGTGTCCTTCTCCCTCTGGAGGGCCTGGTAAGGAGACAGGGTTCTAACGTGCCATCTCAAAGACGCCGTACAAAGGCTGGCTGGATGACACCTGTCACCTCTTCCCTTCCCCTTCCTTCACATATCTGAAGAATGCCGTGACTGATTCTCGGGGCCAGCAACACCAGCTGCACAGTAAAGGTTCAGACAGTGCTGAGGAAGAGAGAGGAGACAGAGAAAGAGGGAGACAGAGAAAAGGGAGGGAAGGAAGGAAGGAAACTAGCTGTGAGCTCAGATGACTTAAGTTTGAGGAGAGAGCACTCTGGAACTGACCTGCTTAATGCCCACAAGTGTAGAATTCCAGAGCAAGTGACTGAGCCTCAGAATTCCAATCTGTACAATGGGTATGTACCCGCCTCCTAGACCGACTGCAGAATTAAATGACATAATCCAGGCCAAGGGATTAGAATGGTGCCTGGCAGAGATTAAACACTCAGTAGTAATAGCCAGGCATGGCTTATTACTTTGCTTTGGTTGTAGTGTGTCCCTCCACCACCCTCCCCCCAGTCCCTGGCGCAAAGCAGCTTTCGGTTAAGTGTTGCATGGACAAGACCCGAGCCAGTCCTCACACTTCCAAACCCAGCCTCCCCATGTACACACTTCCAAACCTGTCCCAGGCGTGAGGAGGGGAGAGGGCAATCTGGGTTTCGCTGCGGAACCACGGCCTATGGGGAAGGGAGGGGAGTTCCCGCTGGTGGCTACCACCAACTCCAGGCCTCCGGGTCCTTGGCCGCCTGGTGACTAAGGCCAGCGCGGGCCGCCTGTTTGTCGGGGATAATGACAGGGCAGCTGCTGGGGTCAGCGCTCAAACGCCGCGAGGCCCCCTCCCCTGCCAGCCCTGGGGAAAACAAAGCCGTTGGAAACGATGGGGCCCGTCCCCCGGAACGAGAAGGTGAAAAGAGGACCCAGACCCCAAACCCTGGCCAGGCTGGTCCGAGAGACCATGCTCAGGAGGGGGACGTATGTTCCCGAGGGGCCACCTAATCCCGGCCCAGAGCCTCGTATCCGGATCTCGCGCCCCAAGGAGCGGACAGAAGCCCCAAGACGGTCCAGGGGCTGTAAGAGGTTGTTGGAAAGATGTGGCAGCGACGCCCAGAGTCCCACCCGCAGCCTTCGGGCTTGCCCCTAGCCTCAAACCCAACTCACCGCGTCAAGATCAGCCGCCGGTCCCGGCTTCTGGGTTCTGTCTGCACAGCCAGGGTCAGCTGACCCGAAGCCCCGTCCCGCCCCCCCCGCCCCCCCCGCCCCCCCCCGTCCCGCCCCGTCCCGCCCCGTCCCGCCCCGTCCCGCCCCGTCCCGCCCCCGTCCCTGAGCCGCGTGGCTCCGCCTCCTGCGCAGCGCACAGAGCTGACAGTCCCTGGGGGCGGTGCGAACGGTGAGAGCGAACCGAGCGTGCGTGGTGGGGAGGCGCGCGACCTGTCCTGGTTCTCTCACCGCCTCCCGGCTCCACCCCCGCGGCGTGGTGGGCGGGACTCCAGGTGCCCCAGGGCGCAGGCGCCGACGTTATGCTAAGCGGCTTGTTTCGCTCGGTGGCCCGTGGCGCGGTGCGTTGCGTTCGTGGTCCCCTGGCGCCTCAGCTTCGCGCCGCTGCCGCTGCCTCCGCCGCCATGTCCCGGCCGCTGTCGCCGCCGCGGGCCGCCTCCGGGGCCCCGGCTCGGCCCGCCACGGTGCTGGGCACCGTGGAGATGGGGCGCCGCATGGACGCGTCCGCCAGCGCCGCGGCCGTGCGTGTCTTCCTGGAGCGCGGCCACACGGAGCTGGACACGGCCTTCATGTACGGCGACGGCCAGTCCGAGATCGTGCTGGGCGGCCTGGGCCTCGGGCTTGGCGGCGGCGACTGCAGAGGTAACCTTCTACCTTCCCGTGTACCGCGCGGCGCACACCCGGCCCCAGCCGTGGCCCGACCCGTGGTGAGGACCGACGGCTTCAGCCCCTTCCGGGAGCTGACCGCCCCTTGGACCACCCCCCTGCTCCCCAGGCCCCGTGCGCGTGTCGTCCCGGACCGCCGGACAGTGCTTTGTCCTGACCTCCTTCCCCTCCCCTTCTCTTTCCTCTGGGAGTTGCAGCTCAGGAACCTTCCCCCCCACCTCCACCCCCCAGTCTTACCCGGAGCCTGGTCTAGTCCTTCGCTTCCTCCCACCTTGCTTTCTTGGGGCACCTCCCTGTGGCACTGGTCTCCAGAGCTATGCAGTACCCCCTCGAACCTTGCCAGGTGCCCCAAACCGCCCCTTTCCCCATTGCCCTCGCTGCCCGTGGCTCCCTGAGCACCCTGTTCTCATCCTGGTCTTTATCAGTCCCTAGCCTTTGCTCAGTTCAGTTGGCAGTACCCTGGCTCCCAGAGAGAGCTGCAACTGGGTCACAAACCAAGCTGGGGGATCAGGGGTGGTACCTGTGGAGTGGGGAGGCTTGTTATGGGGCTATAGGAGGGAAAGTGGTTCCAACCCACCCGCAGGGAGCTTAGAGTCTAATGGGGAAGGTTGAAGCCCAGAAGAGGAAGCACTTTTGGGGGATTAAGCGGTCAGGGAGAGGCACTAGAGAAGGTTCAGAGAACACTGGAGCTGGGCCTTAAAGGACCAATAGTAGTTTGCTGGGAAGAGAATGGGAGAAAGGGGCGTCAAAGGCTGAGGGCAGAGCTGTGCAGACCAGGTTTGGAAATGTAGCGTTTGCTATGTGGAGGGACGGCCAGTGGGCAGGTGCGGCTTGAGCGGAGGTTGTAGGTTCGTGGGAAGGGCTGTCCCTCATCAGCCTGATGCTATTGGAAATGCCTAAGAGGGTGCCTGGATTGTGGTGGCTACATGGGTAAATGGGCTTCGGAGCTCCCCGCCAAGAAAGAATTCTTGAGATTCTTGAGACTTCTTCAGTGCAAAAAGATGGTTTTATCAGAGTATGGGGGCAGGACTGGTGAGCAGAAAGAACAGCACTGGGGTTGTCATGGGTGACTGGTTATATTTTTTCAAGTTGGGAGGGCGTTAGGGACAGCACAATCCTCCCAAGATATTTTGGAAACAAGGTTTCCAGGACTTTGAGGGGCCTAGCTATTGTTAGGAAAAGGTCATGGGGCACCTGGGTGTCGCAGTTGGTTAAAGTCGGTTGGTTTCTTGAGGTCGTGACTAAAGTCAGGGTCGTGGGTTTGAGCTCCATGTCAGGCTCCTTGCTCAGTGTGGAGTCTGCTTAAGATTCTCTTTCTTGCCTCTGCTCCTCCCCCTAAAATAAATAAATAAATCTTTAAAAAAAAAAAGAATTTAGGGGCGCCTGGGTGGCTCAGTCGTTAAGCGTCTGCCTTCGGCTCAGGTCATGATCCCAGGGTCCTGGGATCGAGCCCCGCATCGGGCTCCCTGCTCAGCAGGAAGCCTGCTTCTCCCTCCCCCACTCCTCCTGCTTGTGCTCCCTCTCTCGCTGTGTCTCTCTCTGTCAAATAAATAAAATCTTTTAAAAAAAAATAAATAAATAAATAAAATAAAATAAAATAAAATAAAAAGAATTTATTACTGTTTAGTAAAAACTCGGTCATGAAACCCTTCAGATGTGTATCAGTGGGCCATATGCTTGGAGGATGATTACCAACATGTATCTTGCGGGGGTAGAGATAAAGGAAGTTTCCAAAGGAATTTTATATGTTAAAGTAGACGTACAGGATCCTGGGGAAAGGCGGGGAGGAGCGGTTGGGCTAAGATTACCTCTTGCCCTTAGGAAAGTATTAACATCGAGGCGGCTGAGTTCCTAGAGGAATGGGCCGCTGTCTCTCTGCAGAATTCTCGCCGCAGCCTCTTGCCTCCCTGTTCCAAGGCCTGCTCCCTTGAGTTTCCTCCTGACCGCAGACACACTGAACGTAGCTGACTTTGGTTGATGGGATTTGTGATTAGGTCTGTCACCCTTCTCTTGGCCCCCTGCCCCACTGTTTCCTACCTGGAGTCAATGCTCGTGGAACTCCGAATTGCAGGAACGGGCCTCCACGTACTATGTGTGTTCCTTTGTGACTCCATTTTCCCAGGCTCTGGAATATGCTTCCCATCCTTTCCTGTTGGCCGGGACTCATTCTTAGAGACTCGGCTCCTGGGTCTCACCCCTAGGAAGCCCTCCCTAGAAGTCCCAGGATGGCCACACTCCTCTACTCTGGGTTCCTTTAGCGCTAGGGCTTTTCTCCATTGCACTTACCTTATCGTAACATCACCTTTAGGCTATGAGCTCCTTGAGGGGAGGGAGCAAGTGCGCCTCCAGGCAAGGCCTATCATGCTGACTAACACTAGTGATTATAACAGCTGTGAACATTGAGAACTTGCATATTTAATGCTCATGATCTCCCTACGAGGACAGTTCTGTTGTTATACCCCCATTTTACATATTAGAGAATGGAGGCTCAGAGAACTGAAATAATTTAGACAGGGTCACGTAGTAAGCCTTGTAACCATTGCATGCTCCCTTCAAAGTGAAAATCGCTACCAAGGCCAATCCCTGGGAAGGGAAGTCACTGAAGCCTGACGGTGTCCGGGCCCAGCTGGAGACATCCCTGAAACGGCTGCAGTGCCCCCGGGTGGACCTCTTCTACCTACATGCCCCTGACCACAACACCCCCGTGGAGGAGACGCTGCGTGCCTGCCACCAGCTGCACCAGGAGGTGAGGCGGGCCCCCGAGCTCCAGGAGAGTGGAGGCACCAGGGTCGTCCCAGAGCAGAGCCGGGGACAGACCCCACTCCCAGGGTCCCCACCCCCATCTCCCCTTTGCAGTGTCCTGGGCCGCGGTGGGTTCTGACTGAGGCCTCTCCCCTGCAGGGCAAGTTCGTGGAGCTTGGCCTCTCCAACTATGCCGCCTGGGAGGTGGCCGAGATCTGCACCCTCTGCAGGAGGAACGGCTGGATCCTGCCCACTGTGTACCAGGTGAGGGCCAGGGCTGCGGGGGGGG